TAACGCGTTAGTTTATCTCGTTTTTGACATGAACGGCCTTTCATACTTAATAAACGGTTACCGTAAAGGTGTGCGTAAACTTATCCTATGTTTTCTAGTTCTTAAGTTCCTTAGATCTAGTCAGTCATTCGGTACTGGTTTGGAAATACCATATAATTTCCCGGGGGCTTGTTATAAGCAATTAGTGACAGTTTAAAGTAGTCGTGCTCTCTATATAAAGGGTTGCGTCAGGGGCGAAGACCGTTACATATGTCTTGACAAACTACTAGAACAGAAGAATATCCGGAAAACAAAGGGCCTGATATGTTTTCATTTCTTTCCATTATTTTGGAAAACTACGCATGATGACAAATCATTTATGTTCCTAGAGAAATACATGACCATTTTAAATTACAAGATGACAATATAAGTGATAGTAAGAGAGCAGCTACAACTACTTAGTCCAGGATAGTTTTGTAAAACTGGTGGATATGTGCCTGTTGACATGCATATCGATAAAAAAAGGGATTGTGGTTATTTTTAGGATCCCTATCATAGTGATCGTTTGAAAACGCCCATAGCTTACCTTGGTCGTCTAGGTTACCCTTCAGTTTGTTGATTTTCACAGCACACTCCTGTACCATTGAACACACCTTTGGATGTATGCACCTGATCGCAGATACAAACTTTTGGTAATCTCCATAATCAATTGTTTCGTAATTCATTAGACGTTCGAAGAGTGTTTGAATGTTTTTAATTTCAAACATATCAAGCGGCGTCAGCGGATTATCCTCAAATAGACATTTTACTTTCTCCAATTGGTCTCCAAACATTTCGGTTCTTATGTTGAACACCATTGTGTTATGGAGAGTTGCTACCTCGTCATTCACATTTGACGCCATGGCGAACTGTTTCTTTATAATTGTATTCTGAAACAAAAAATATAATACGATAAATATTATTAGATTTGACACCGATGAAATACAAGTGTAACGTATCAATATAATAAAGTTGATATATGTTTTTTATGTCACAAAATGAAATGTTTTCCCCAAACTAAGTCGATCAATCAGAAAGTCTGATTTAAAGTGAAAAACATAACAACCAACGTACATGGTCAAATGTGATATTTCAATAGCCTAGAAGTTTTTAGGTCATCTGAGACAAAGTCTCAAGTGACCTATTGCGATCGCCTTTTGTCCGTCGTCGTCCGTCGTCCGTCGTCCGTCGTGCGTCCGTAAACAATTTACATTTTCGACTTCTTCTCCAAAACCCCTGAACCAATTTCAATGAAATTTTGCAGGGACCTTCCATGGACAAAGGTCAACAAAA